GATAGATACCTGTTTAAAAGAAAATAGAAAAATGACTCTGAGTGTTTAAGGTTGCAGACCCCTGGGTTAGACAAACACCATGGTCATTAAGTGAACCTTGTGGTCATTAAGCGAACACTGGTTGTTAAACAAGTCCATTTTCCCCAATGGGCATTTTTAACTGGAAACCAGATGGAATTGTTGGAAACTGGCAAAAAAAAGAGAAAACCTTAGTCACATGACTGTGTGGGAAGTTGTAAGAAAGAAAGGAAACAAAAGAAAGAAAAAAAAGAAAGAAGGAAGGAAGGAAAGAAAGAAATAAAAGAGAAAGAGGGAGGGAGGGGAAAGTGAATGACATATAGTTGCATGGATGGATGGATGGATGGATGGATGGATGGATGGATGGATGGATGGATAGATAGATACATGAAGAGAGGGAGGAAGGAAGGGGGAGAGAGAGAAAAAAAAGGAGAGGAAGGACGGACCACAAAAACTAGATGTGGCTTCAGAAGACGCTTTGAAACTGCACAGCAATCTAGGGCTGGAAGGGATCTCGGAGGTCATCTAGTCCAACCCCCTGCTCCAGCAGATCTTTACAGAATCATAGAATAGCAGGGTTAGAAGGGACCTTGGAGGCCATCTAGCCCAACCCCTTGCTCCAGTAGGAGACCTTATATAATCTGGATTATTTTGGTGCCTCTAACAGAGAGGAAAATTGCCAGAAAAGAGAAAGAGTTTACTAGGACAAGGCTGCCATGCAGAGGAAGGCAGAGATAGTCCTTGACCTATGACCACAATTGAGCCCAAAATTTTGGTTGCTAAGCAAGAGCATTGTTAAGTGAGTTTCACCACATTTTATTCAATCCATGACATCTCCTGGCTCTAACAGTCATGTGCAGGCTAGGGGAAAACATCTGAAGGTGTGTGTAATGTTCTAATGTACAGACGTTATAGTTAAATGTGTGGCAGAAAGTGGACTCTGTGTGTTTTTTCCCAAATGCACTATGTGTATAGTTTTAGAAGAGGTGTGTGTGTCTGTGTGTGCATACACATACAGTATATATAGTAGATAATGTATCTTTTTGTGTGCCTATACCGGGGGTTGGCAACGTGCAGCTCTAGAGCTGCATGCGGCTCTTTGGGCCCTCTCTTGCTGTCAGATGATCCCACCACTGGGTGGCCCCTCCCCCTCACTCCTCACCTGCACTGAGAAGAGAACGGCGACTGCGGCAGATAGAGACTCACTCCGTATTCCAGAGTGGGTGCAAAGCACCCCTCTACTTGCCTCTTTTTCCGACCCTTGTTGGGAGATGCATGACTTTTCTCCATGCCTAGACGCTGGCTGGGCTGCCTGGCTGCAACCAATGCTTCGCATCGTAATGGGCTCCAGGAGGAGGAGGAGGGGATGCCGTCTCCCCCATTGTGCAGCACGCTAAGCTTAAGTGCAAGAGCAGCAAGCAGCCACGGAGGCGGTGAGAGGACTATGGGGAGACGCACCGCAGCCGGTGTCTCGGGGCGGAGAAAGTCGCATGTCTCAGACGGCATAAAACCAAGGGACTTTCAGCATCTCTTCCCACTCAAGCTATGTGATTCTGCTCAGGAGCTCAAGCCATGTGATCCTGTTCAAGGACTCAAGCCATGTGATCCTGTTCATCATTAAACCATATTTCCAAGCAGTCTCCATGTCTCCAGTGTCTTTTTCCCCACTTGGAACTGAACCCAGATGGACATTTGTTCCAACATCACCTTGGCAGGAAACACCAAAGGCACAAGTGCAGTTTAGGTGAACCCTAGCTCAAAAACAGTAACTGTGAGATGGATCTTGGAGTCCTAGTGGATGATCACTTAAACATGAGGCAGCCAAAAAAACTAATACAATCCTTGGTTGTATAAACGGAGGCAAAGAATCAAAATCATGTGAAGTATTAGTATAAGACCACTTTATAAAGCCTTAGTAAGGCCACACCTGGAATAGTGCATCCAGTTTTGGTTACCGCATTACAAAAAAGATGTTGAGACTTTGGAAAAAGTACAAAGAAGAGCAAGTAAGATGATTAAAGGCTTGGAGACAAAAACATATGAAGAACTGTTGCAGGAATTGGGTATGGTCAGTCTAGAGAAAAGAAGGGACTAGGGGTGACATGATAGCAGTATTCCAGTATTTGAGGGGTTGCCACAAAGAAGAGGGGGCCAACTTATTTTCCAAAGCACCAGAAACCAAGACAAGAAACAATGGATGGAAAGTAATCAAGGAGAGAAGCAACCTGGAATTGAGGAGAAACTTCCTAACAGTGAGGACAATTAACCAGTGGAACAACTTGCATTCAGTAGTTGTAGGTGCTTCATCAGTGGAAGTTTTTAAGAAAAGACAACCACCTATCTGAAATGGTATAAGGTCTCCTGCTTGAGCAAGGGGTTGGACTCGAAGACCTCCAAGGTCCTTTACAGCTCTATTCTGATTGATTGATTGATTCCCTTCCCTTCTAGACTCCAGTTGAGGAGTGAACTCAGGCCAATCTGTTATCCCCTTCATTAGAAATGGGAGAGTTTCTTCAAGCATTTCCTTTATGTCAAGAAGGGGAGATTTATATCAGGTGTGGGTAAAGTCACAATTTCTTTCTTTCTTTTAATCATGTTTTATTTGCAGTTTTCTTTTCACACCATACATGTTTTGTGGACAGTGCATTGACTGGGTCAAATCTTTTTTAAACAACGCTAACAATAATAATACAAATAAGTATGTGTAATCCTAATCTTCCAACTTCAACAATACTATTCTCTCTTTATAATTCTTTATCTTTTTCCCATTAATTCATTTAAACATAGATAAAATACTGTATTATGTATTTATCCCCTACTAAATTACTAATATTTAATATTTTAAGAATTACTCATTATTCCACCATAACTTCAATATTCCAAATGTGTAGGATTACTAATAAAACCAAATATTAACAATATTTAATCAATCCCGTGAGTGTATCTCAAAATCCCCACAATTTCTAATCC